CTTACTTGAATGATTTCACACTCTTTGTGACACCTGCTCTCTGTAGGAACTCCTGCAGAGAAGGAAGGACTTGAGTCACCCATATATGTAACTTCAGACATTCTTGATTTCATATTAGACTCTTATCTCTAGGCTTGGTTAGTAGATACGTGGAGGTTTTCAAAAGATTGGAATGTGTTACTCTGTGGTTTTTTAAAAATAGAAAGAAGCAAACACTATGATAACACTATAATAGCTTAATAATGCACAGAACACTAGTAGGTATTCAAAGAAGCCCTGGTGGTGCAGGGGTAAGTGCTTGGCTACTAACCAAAAGGTCTGCAGTCCCAACCCATCAGCAGCTTTGTAGGAAAAAAATGGTGCAGTCTGCTTCTGTGAAGGTGACCTTGCAAAGTCTTGGAGACCCAGTGGGGCAGTTCTGCTCTGTCCTTTGGGGCATTGTGAGTCAGAATCTACTCCATGGCACATAACAAAAACAGTTACAAGTATTCTCTCAGGACAGGTCTGGTCCAGTTAGTCATCATTTTGTGTTTGGATTAATTACCTTTTGTGATAACCTTTGAAAACTCTGTCTCTCAAACAGAGCCTGTTACCATTAATGAAGAAAATGAAGGACTTGATCATAACACACAAATTAGGAAGCAAGGAATTATCGCCCTGAGTTACCAGGACTGGGAGGTAGAGTTCTGCACACTACCCTGCATAGTTCCACCACATCCTCCTGTGTGCTGAGCCCGTCCCTAAACATTCTGTCCTGTGCGTCGAGCCCCGTCCCCAAACCTCCGTGTCCTGTGCATCGAGCCCCGTCCCCAAACCTTCCGTGTCCTGTGCGTCGAGCCCCGTCCCCAAACCTCCGTGTCCTGTGCGTCAAGCCCCGTCCCCAAACCTCCTATGTTCTCTTCACCAGGAGATTGTGAGGACCTTCGAGATCTCAGAGCCTGTGATTGCTTCAAGTCAGAGCCAGCAGAGGCCGAGTGCTTGACGCCTGCCCAGGGTAACAGTGCCAACAGGCAGCTGCAGTTTTATGAAGGTTTATTTGGCATGTCAGCCATCCGCCTCTTTACCATTCCAGAGAAGTTTGGATTTTGTGTCCCAAGTGCCCCCTTCTTAGGGTCCTCGAGCTGTACGTGATTGGGGAAAAGGGCAGAGGCAGGGCACAGTGCTTACAGGTTCCGTTCATGCGACTCATCGCTTCGGTGTTTGTGAGATTTGCTATTGAAAGAAACTGAGTAGGTTTTGTTCTTGTATTGACATTTTTTCCCCCAATACATCAACAAATTAGATGAGCTTTATTCACAGTCCCATAAGGTTTGCTGATGTTCCAGGTACAAAGCTAGGACAGATTTACCCTGGCATGGTGTTAGTTAAGTGGGCATTTCTGAAATGTAATGAAGGGACACATTTCTGGGAAGGAGTCTTAGCTGTGATATGGCCTTCTGCACTGCACACAGTTGGGATGGGGCTCAGGGGACCCAGACTGGAGTGGCTCTGCCCCCTTACTAGCTCTGAGACCTTGGGAAGAACACATCTACCTTATTTTTACCACACGCCTTCTGCCTTCTTCGTCTGTTTGCCAACTGCTCCCTCCCCCTGGGAGCTAAGTTCCTAAGTGCTGCTATGCCATTTTTTAAAATATGCATATATTGCTGTTAAATATTTTAGCATAGTGCATTAACAGAAATACCTCCTTGGGGAGGGAGCAGTTGGTAAATGTAGGGGGTGCGTGCTATTGGCATAAAAATATGCATACATATGATGTGGTTAACTGAGGCCCTACTTACTGAAGAGGGGATGGATGGTTATTAGCTTTCATTTATGTATATTAAGTGAACTTACATCATTTATAAACTCTTAACCAGCTATCCTCCCTCCCCCTTTTCTCTTAGGACTAAAATGGATAGTGAAATGCAGACGACAAAGCAGCATGTATTGTATATATTGTATGACTGAAAGTTTTTACAGATAGTTTTAGTAAAATGTAGCTTTTGATAGTTAATGAATATGCCATGGTCTTCTTTGATTAAAGGACATTCACTGCCATGTTCACAGTATAAATGTAGTTACTCTTTATTTTCTTATCATGGGGAGTGAGTGGGGCTTCTCCTCTCTCTAATCCTATCCCATTGAAAGTTATACTTAGGTTGTTAATGGCCTAATGGATAATGCCATCATGGATCATCATGGTTCTTTTTACATCTCTTTAGCTGTAAAGGTAGCTGGTCCAGTCAGGAGTAGGTTGAACCATGAACTTCTTTTTGTAGGTAAAACGTGGTTAAATACCAGGAATGTCACGTGATGCTGCCCATGATCTGCATACCAACTGTTTGGACTGTGCTCATCTCTCTTCCAGCTCGGCTCATCGTGACCCGCAGGCTTCTGTCCTTCCCTCTCTTGATACAGTTTGCTGTGCAGCTAGCTGCAACACTTGGGGACACTGCACCTCTGGGTTAACTTTTCATTTTGCCAGTGAGAGCCACTTAGAAACAAAATTGGGGGGTATAGGATTTAACTATGCTAACAAGTATGAAAAAAGAATACAACTAATCGTGAAAAAACTTAATATTTATATTTTTCTACTTGACTTCTCAAAAATGGTGGCATGCTCAAGAGCTCTCTTCGGAGTGGTATTTCTGTTTTCTCCTCTTTTTTTGACTTTTCCATCAGAATAGTCACTTGTATGGGTGCCTTTTCACAAGGCTGGGCAATTGGATAGGCTGTGACCCATTCAAACTGTTTCACCTCTTGCTTCTCCACTGGAGATTTTTGGCAAAGAGGAACTTGGTTGGAGAGTTTTGGAGCGTCTTTTTTATCATTCCTGTACTCCATGAGTTCTCTCCCTCGAATCATTCGATCTTGATGTCTTTTTATCTGTTCTTTCACCCACGACACATTGGGCTTTGTAGTTTTGGGTGTTTTCTGGGTATTTACCTCCTTTCTATCCTTCTCCGGTGACCGGATCTTAGGGATCTTAAGTATTTCACTGGCAACTCTCTGTGGGAGCAGGCGGTACTTGTTGTCCTGGAGGCCTCTGGCACGCTCGGCTCGGAGTACGTGCTTCCCTATCTGCCTGAACTCCCTTTGGGGCATGACATAGTCCCATTTTTTAACATCTTTTGTCTTTTCACTTTGCGGTCTTTGTTCTTCCTTCTCTGTTTTGATTTCCCGTTCTGGAACCATATTGTATTTCCAGCTTTCCATCATCATTTGTTGGTACTGTTGATAGTAGTATGCTTCTGTTTTGGCAAACCGGAAGTCAAAAGACATGGCCTTAAGCTTATCAAGTGTTGCATTTTCTTGTTGAAACCTTTGGGCCATAAGTTTCCTCACTTCTGAAGAATGGACACCACCTAAACTCTTGTCAGAGGCAAGTATTACGGTTTTTAAGCTGGAGGTCCTGTATCATAATTCCATGAACAGACTTCCAGGGGACTGTTGGCCTGCCTGGCACTCCCCAGCCACTCCCCAGCCACCTGGCACTCCCCAGCTGTCCCCTACCCATGTCTCCAGTCTTTCTCCTCAAGCCTTCTATACACCCCGCCCCCAGCATTCCCTTCTGGTTGAAGACTCTGCCTTAGACATCCTTGAGAAAACAGACAGTGACTCAGGAGCACCCTCCATCCCCACACCCAGACAACCACCTTCCATCTACAGTCAGGCTCAGCTTCCCACCTTTACAACGGAACCATTACCCCTTCACTTACCAAAAGCCACCTGCTCTTTGAACGTCCAACGCTTCGCTTTGGCAGTGACCAAATCCCCTTTCCTGTACCATCGACACCTCCCCTCCACCGGGGCATTCCTACCATGTGAAGATACACTTAACAGACTTCTGCTTTAGACGGCAAAGAAACTCTTCCTTTATGGCACTCACTGTGGCTTCTGGCCTCATTCTCCGGTCACCTTCATCCTAGACCTTCTTGAAGGAGTTAACTGTGATCACGTCACTTCCTCACATCATCCTTTCTCCTCTGTCTGTCGCAGCTGGGTTTCCATCCCCCCAGCACTCTTGGCTGCATGTGTCTAGATCACAGGTGGCCTCTGCATTGCCACATTCAGAGGTCCCCTCTCTCTTCCCATCACACCCAACCTTTCAGCAGCATTCACCGGAGGTGACCACTCTCCTCCCTAAAACTCACTCTCTTTCCTTGGCTTCTAGGCTACTGCCAAGGACATATAAGGAAAGCCATCTTGGGCCCTCTGGACCAGCCCAACCATCAGCTGAATATCCCTGATTTTCTTCCTGCCTCGTGGCCACTCTTCCATCCCCTTTGCTGGTTCTCTCTTGGAATGCAGGACACAATAGCAGTGAGAACCGTCACTGAAGATGGAGCATGGGTCCCATTCTGGCTTCCCTGGACATGGACAGTTCAGTTGTCCCACAAGGTGCCCGGCCATGTATCAGGCCCTCTCTGGAGCCTGGGATGGTGATGAGGAGGAGATAGACAAGGCACACAAAGGTTCCCTGCCCTCAGCTCTCAGCCTCAGGCCTCGACTCTGCCTCCTTGACACCCGCACTTTGACTCTTACTCCAAAGTGTTTTCCCTTCTGTCTCCTTCCTCCCAATCCCGTCACTTCTGACTCCGCAAGGCCTCTCAGATCCACAGTCTTCTCTTCAGCCTGGAACCCCCAGCCCAAGGGCAGGCCTAGCTAGTGTCCCTGATTCCGCAGTCCCTCCCCTCTGCCCACCAGAACTGTCACGCTGCAGCCTGAGTAACCTTTCTTTAAATTGTGGTGAAAATATACACAATTGAACATTGCCCAATTCAACAGTGTCTTCTATAAGTCAGTGATATTAATCACATTCTTCATGTGGTAAACCAGTACTGCTGTCCTTCTCCAAATTAGTCCGCTGCCATTAACATGAACTAGTGCCTCTTGAGCAAAAACACATTGATCTGTATATTACATAAACTTGAGCACATCACTTTCCAGAACCAAACCCTAGGATGGTATCCGACTGCTCTTGGGAGAGAAGCTGGAATTCTCCGGGTGACACGCATCATCTGGTCCAAAAACTTTCTCAGCGCAGCTGCTTGCTTGCTCTTCTCCAGCCCCCCCAATGTTTCCGTTCCTCACACGCTGTGCTCCTGCCCTACAAAAGCTGTGCTCCAATACACACAGTTCGGCTGTTCTGACTGTGGCTCCTACGTGTACATATTCATCAGGTTGGAGCGTTAAGTGACACTTCCTTTGGCCTTCTACATCCACTTTTGTAAAACCCCATCCTTTCATGACACTGCTCACTGTTAATCTGTGCAGACTATCTAATGTCACCCTCTGTCATGAGGCTGAGCCCCAGGAGGGCATAAACAGTGTTGACTGTTCGTTGCTACCCAGCCAGCACCAGGGGGTCCTCAGGGAGCTAAACACTGAACTGAACCTAACAGGCAAAGTCCGTGTCTTGAAACACTCATGCACTTTCCACTTTGGTGAGAACTTCTCATAATCCTGTTCCCCCTGATTTCACAGTAAATACATTTCTCACCTGAATCTTCCTTTCTAGAGGAGATTGGGGACCGACTGCAATCCGAGGGTCTTGGGTGCTTTTGGCCCAGGCCAGTCTGGAGAAGATGAGAAAGAGAAGTTACACTAGGATTTAGAGAAGGTGTCAGGAAACTTCTAATCCAGTTTGAATTGTATTAGGAAATAGATCTGGGATCCACTTCTTGTATGTAGCAGAAGGTATTTCTGTAACAATAGGCAAGGCTCTGTGAGGTTTCATTTTCCTCTGGCCATTCCAAAGCAGGAAGGAATACTTTCTGATAAAAGTAAAACAAAGAACCATGTTGTGTTTTAGGTTGAGACTGTTGGAAGCACCTTTATTTTGCCACCAAATAGGGGAGACCAAGTTACCATTTCAAATACTACAGGCCACTTTTTATGTTGTTGGTAGAACAGAGAATTTCGGTTTGATGAGAAAGTCTGTTTTCAAAGTTGGTGAGTCGTCTATTTTAAGTCCTAAAACCAAAAACTCACTGCCATTGAGTTGGATCCAACTCATAGCAACACCTCCTTGGGTTTCCAAGGCAATATCACTATGGAAGTAGATCATCAAATCTTCCTTCCGAGGAGTGGCAGATAGGTTTGAACCACCAGCCTTCTGGTTAGCAGTCAAATGCCTTAAGCACTACACTACCAGAGGTCCCATTTCAGTTATATATAAAGTTATTAACAAATGCAGCAGTTATCCAAATAGGTTTCATCATTTACCAAGCTAAAACAATTTGGTAACAAAAAGCTTATTTAATTATTTATTTATATTGTGGTTTAGGTGAAAGTTTACAGAGCTCCTTACAGCAGCTCACATACACTTTGTCTCATGACATTGACTATAATTTCCCACAATGCAACAGCTCCCCTCCCACTTCCTCCCCATAGTTACCTTTTCCCTGTGTCCTTCCCTCCTGCCCCTGAGCTGTCTTCATGTACATACACAACCCTTCTATTCTTTGCAAGGAGTGTATCTACCTAATGTAAATGTTCACCTCATATGCCTGTCTTTTGTTTGGCTGGAAGCCACAGGAGTGGGTTCAATTCCAGACCACAAGGGCAGCTAGGGGCCATAATCTCAGTGGGGCCATCAGGAAAAAAGCTTTTTTATTTTTGATTTTTAGAATTTAATGCAGAATAATATAGTAATTTGTCACTTAGATCAAGCATAGTCTCATTTAAGCATCCTTGAGACCTACTATTGTCTTAACCTGGTTAGCAGACAGGCTGTGTGTTTAACACCCTGGATTGTACACTGTTTTCTCTGGCTTCTCTTAGTGGGAAAAGAAGGATTTTATAATACAGAATTGGGAGGAAAAAAATGTTTAGATCCAAGTGATTTGCTTCCTTTTTGCTTTGAAGTAAAACTCTTGGGTGGTGCAGTTAACTCACTCAGCTGCTGACTGAAAGGCTGCAGGCATGGCCGTCTACTTCTGCCAGATCACAGCCACTAAAACAACCCTGTGGAGCAGTTCCACGTGGGTATATGTGGGGGTGCTCTGCATTAGAGCTGACTCGGGGGGAACTGGTTTAATTCCTTTCTTAAAGACAGACTGTT